GCTAGTGTAGGGAGCCTCTGGAACAACTTCAAGTATAATGACATTTGCATCATGGGGATGCCAGAAGAGAGAGAGAAAAAAATTGAAAACATATTTGAAAAAATGACTGAAAACTTCCCTAATTTGGTGAAGGAAATAGACATACAAGTCCAGGAAGTGCAGAGTCCCATGCAAGATGAACTCAAAGAAGCCCACACCAAGACACATCATAATTAAAATGCAAAAGGTTAAAGACAAAGAGAGAATCTTAAAAAGCAGCAAGAGAAAAGCAGTTAGTTACCTATAAGGGTGTTCCCTTAAGATTGTCAACTGATTTATCAACAGAAACTTTGCATTCCATAACGGACTGGCAAGAAACATTCAAAGTGATGAAAAGCAAGGACTTACAACGAAGATTACTCTACCTAGCAATGTTATCCTTTAGAATTGAGGGACAGATAAAGAGCTTCTCAAACAAAAAAAAGCTAAAGAATCTCATCACCACCAAACCAATATTATATAAAATGTTAAAGAGTCTTCTTTAAGAAGAAGAAAAAAAAAAGGATAAAAAATATGAACAATAAAATGGCAATAAATACATGTCAACAATTGAATCTAAAAAACAAAATAAACAAACAAGCAGAACAGAAACAGATTCATAGATACAGAGAACTTTTTTTTTTAAATCCTTACCTGAGGATATTTTTCTGTTTATCTTCAAATAGAGTGGAAGAGGGAGAGAGAGAGAAACATCAACATGAGAGGGGTACATCAACTGGCTGCCTCCCAACAACCCAAATTAGGCAGGACCAGGGATAAACCTCAATCGAGGTACATGCCCTTGGCTGGAATCGAACCTGTGACTCATTGCTCTGCAGGCCGATGCTCTACCACTGAGCCAAACTCGCCAGGGCCAGAGAACATTTCTGATGGTTGCCAGATGGGAGGAAGGTGGGAGATTGGTGACAAAGATGAAGGGATTAGGAAGTACAAATTGGTTGTTACAGAATAGTTATGGAGATGTAAAGTACAGCATAGGGAATAGAGTTAATAATATTCTAATAACTATATATGGTGTCAAATGGGTGTAAGATTTATCAGGATGATCACTTAGTAAGTTATATAATGTCTAACCACTGGGGTATACACCTGAAACTAATATAATAATGTATATCAACTGTAACTAAAAAAAAAAAAAAGATGTCACCAAATAAACCGCATTAACTGATAACAAATCCCTCTCTCCAAATGAATCACCAGTAGACACTTCTGATAAACATGAGCACTAGTTTCCACACTGCTCACCTAATATAAGCCAAAAACAAAGATACTGCTGGGTGAACTTTGTACAGGTTAATAAATGGTTTCTAATGAGGGATATGAAATATGGACAATAGCTCATCCATCTACACCCCCAACACCTACAGACCTAAGGTTCCAGGGCTACCAGCCTGAGAACCAGTACCCTAAGTCATGACCCTGTGCACGGTAGCTGAATCTCCTGACAACTGACTCAAAGCAGGACAGGCAAACAGGATTGGGAGGAGGAGGGAGACAAAATGAGAGTGGACATCATTGGTTTGGCCTTCCATGGCAGAGACTGAGTTGCCCACCATAATCCATTCCCGCATTCTGGCATAAAAGAGCATTATAGTTGAAAAGCTTGCATTTTCCCACCCCACTATCCAAGTAATGTGGCAAAATCCTTGCCCTGAAATGTGCCTCATTCAGGTCAGCAGCTTCAGAGTGAGTGACCCTTCCTCACCTGTACCAGACCTAGTGCTACTCCACTCAGGTCTCGTCAGCCTTCAGTTCTGTGTGCTGAAGGCTGCTTATGGACAACCCATCACTGCCTGAGGGCTTTTCCTGGCACAAGAAGCATGCTTGGTCAGTGCACAGGGCAAGTCGAAAGGACCCAGAAAGGAATGCCCCAATGCCAACACCTCAACTAAATCCCCAGGGCTGGGGAGGTAGTGGACACATGGTTTCCTATGTTCCTTAAGTGGGGTAACTCTGAGGCACATCTGCTATCTCCCAGAGATCTCTGCAGCAATTAAGCTCCAGTTGTTTGCAGCAGTAACTTCCTTGATTATATTCCCTTTGTTGGCTGTCTTCCCTTCCCTGTCACACTTCCTCACTCCACTGCACATGCTTCCTGGGATCACCCTCCAAAGCAATTGACTAGAACTTGAACCCTTGCCTCAGAATCTGCTTCTGGAGGAACTCATATCAAGACAATTCTCCCACTGGCTGAAATCCACAGAGACCCAGTTTCAGTCATGCATATGTTGACACTGTCTTAGGGCATGGCAATGCAACAAAGGAAAGGAGTCTGGATCCCCGAGCGATGGCATGGAGGAGAGCCACCCACCAACACACAACTGCTAGGTAAGAAAGAAATGACCTTCTTTTTCCTTCATGCCACAGCACTTCTTAGGAAATCTTTGTTACTACAGCTGTACCTTATCTTAGCTAGTAACCCTACCCAACACCAATTTCCTGTTTGGTCACAACACCCTGCTTTTCTGCTGGGGAACCACTTTCCCACCACTGCCAGGCCAGAGGTAGAGCTGATTTGCTCTCTCTACTCCTGCTTTAAGGGAGGCAGGGACATATGACTCAGGCCTGGGCAAAGAGAGCCCCATATCTCCCAGAGCAGGGTGATTGGCTCAGGGGCAGACCCAAGAGCCAAATCAGGCCAATCAGAGACAAGAAGTATCAGCCCAAGACCTTTGGCTAAAAGATAAACCCTCTTTTCTGCTGGTCTGCTGCACTGGGGGATTGAAGTCCAAGGGTGGGTGGTCATCCAGCTTCCACCTGAGTCTGCCTGGGAAAGTAGCCACCTGGGGGGAAACTGGATAAAAGAGAGAAAGATGAAGGATGATGACATGACTTAAGCACCTACATTCACCACCCCTGAAGTGGGAACAACCCTAGACTTAGCTAATAGATTAGCTTTTCTGTCAAAGACATTTTATTTATTTATTTATTTATTTATTTATTTATTTATTTAATCCTCACCCGAGGACATTTTTCGATATTTTGTTCAGATAGAGTGAGAGGGAGAGAGAGAGAGAGAAGCATCGACGTGAAAGCGACACATCGAGTGGTTGCCACCCACACGACCCAACCAGGGCCGGGGACAAACTGCAACCAAGGTACGTGCCCTTAGCGGGAACCAAACCCGGGTCTCTCCGGACCGCAGGCTGAGGCTCTAACCGCTGAGCCAAACCGGCCAGGGCTGTCAAAGACATTTTAAACTGAATTCCCATCACCTGCAACCAAAAGAGTTCTGTTTAGTATAAATCTGATCCCAAAGAGAAGGTCACATCAGCTAGTTAGCTAGTTCACAATTCCCTGTGCAAAACAGGCTGCAGGCCAGCTCTCCCAGCCAGAACAATTAAGATATTTCCTTATAGGAATGTTTGTTTTTGTTGTCTAATGACCCAGATAACTGAGGAAAGAAAATCAATCACCTTCTAGCCTCTCTCTCCTCTGTATCAGGAGACACAACACAATGTCAGCAATTTGCCCACTGGAGCCAGGGTTGAGCCCTCACACAGGCTGTTCCTGGAGGCTGCACTTTAACCCGAGGTGCTGCTGTGGGGCCCTTTCTCTGGCCCCCAGCTGCTGGCCTCTGCTGTCACCTCATCTGCTCGGGGCACAGAGAGCTGACTCTCCAGTAGTGCAGAGGATGGCTCCAGAGAACATGTGCAGCACCCCTTAGGTCATAGGTGCCCTGCAAAAGGGCAGATTTCCTTCCTTCTGAAAGAAAAGTGCTGATGCGGAAGAGAAGTGTTATAGGATATACTTACACTGTCCAGATGTTGGCATAATGCCTGGCCCACAGTGTGGAAGAGGAGAAAAGAAGGGCAGGTGGAAGGAAAGGAGTGAGAGGAAAGGAAGGAAAGGGGGAGGAAGGGGAACCATGAAAGAAGGGGAAATAAGAAAACGGTCTCATCATCCAAATATTTCCCTAGACTAAGGAGAAATCTGGTCCCAAAGCAAGATTTTCTTGATCTGCTAGGGTGAAAATGGACCTGAGGCACTCAGCCCAGGCAGTGCCCAGGGGACAATGGGCAGAACATGGTGCAGCTGAAGAGCACTTCACTTAGTTCAGGGGACTGGGAACGCTACCTCTCCGACCTGCTGAGGGTTCTGGGCCCTTCCTGCTAGCCCTCCAGGCATGGACGCACCCTGAAACTTCCTCACCAACCCCTCTCCCATGGCCTGCTGCCTCCTGTTTGCCCTAACATGGTCTCAAGTTAGTTTCTTGTTAACCTCCCAGGCCTCCTAGCTGAGCAGATGCAGGGAACTAACAGTCACTATGCTCAGCAACCACAGGCTGCTGCTGCGTCCCTCCCACAAGTGCAGTGTGTGCCAGTGAGCCTCCTCACACTCCAGCGTTTGCCACACGTTGCTCCAGTGCTGGACTCAGGGAAGGGAGAAGTGCCTTCAGCCAACAGGTCCCAGCCCCAGAAAGCCAGAGGCATCTCTGCAGTAACCACATGCCACAAAAAATGATCTAAGTGTTTGTAAGTTACCTACAGATTTGACCCCAAGCGCCTCTGCCCAACAGTGGAGGAGTCAGTGGTTCAGTGCTATCTTTTCAGCAGCTGTCTGTGCTCCTACCCAACACTTAAGATTGCCTCTTCAAACCCACCCATTGACACAGAAAAATCAACCCCCAAATAACTTGAAGTTTAATGTCACACAATAAGCCCCAAACGAGGAGCTATATAGCTCAACACGCTCCTGTTTTGTTATTATAAGGAAAGTTTTATGAGGACATTTCATTTATTAAAATAACTCTTTTGGGGTAATAAAATTTATTTTTCTCAGTAGCATTTCAAGTGGAAGTACTTTTATTTCAAAGCACCATAATATGCTGGTCTCTCTAAGAACACTTCTGCCTCCTTGTGTGAAAATCCTAAAAAAAAAAATCCTGCACAGTGATCAAAGCCACCCATCAACTTTCATTAACATGATTGTGTTCAATAGGACATGGGTTATGGGGGACCTGACACCACTATTACAATAACAACTTTGGAACAGATCCCCCTGCTAAGGCCTCAAAAGGACACAGAGATAAACTGAACACTTGTAATTAGAAAGAGCCAGTGGGACCCTCAAAACTCAAAATCTGTGTAAACATGTCAGCATTGGTGTCTCTCCCTTTCTCCTTCTCACTTCTCTTCCTCCTCGCTCAGGTTGGAATTCCCCTGGAATGTGGATGTCAGCTTGTTTTGCAAAAGGGCTGCCAGTTTTTTGGAAGTCTTTTTGAGAAATGCGCTGCCCGGGTGGGCACTGTTCACGTGCAGGTACAGGTCCTCCTGGGTGGGGCCTGTGTAGCCACAATCCTCACAGACGTAGAGCTTGTCCCGACGTTGCTTGTAGGCATACTGCTGCTGCACCCCATGGATTTTCTTCAGGTGGGACTCCAAGGAGCAGCGCTGGGTGAAGGCTTTGTTGCAGACATCACATTTGTAGGGGCGAATGCCTGCAAGAGTGAGGGACACACACATCACTGGTTGGTCATGGCCAAGCCAGAGCCTTCCAACTAAGAAGCTATAAAAAGTCATCATGCACAACCCAACGGCAAACAAATTACCCAATTCAAAATCAGGCATAAGAACTGAAAAGATATTTTTCCAAAGAGGACATACAAATGGCCAATAGGTACATGAGAAGGTGCTCAACACCACTAATCAGGAAAATGCAAATAACAACCACAATCAGAACCCTTGTGCACCATTGGCGGAATTGTAAATTGGTGCAGCTACTATGGAAGTCAGTATGGAGTTTCCTCAAAAAATTAAAAATAGGTCTGCCATATGATCCAGTAATCCTACTTCTAGGATATATATCCAAAGGAAATGAAAACAGGATCTTAAAGAGATATCTGCCCTCCCAAGTTCATGGCAGCATTGGTCACAAAAACCAAGATTGGAAACAACCTAAGTGTCTATCAATGAATCAACAGATAAAAAAAGATGTCACATATTTATAAAATGGAATATTATCTAGCCATAAGAAAGAAGGAAATCCTGCCATTTGTGACAATGTGGATGGACCTTGAGGGTATTATGTTAAGTGAAATAAGCCAGACAGAGAAAGGCAAATACTACATTAGCATCATTTATATGTGGAAAAGTTAAACCCATAGAAACAGAGTAAAGAAGTGGTTGCTAGGGGCTGGGGTTGGGGTGGGGAAGAATAGGGAGAAAAAATGTCATCATGACCAAGGCTTCAAAAAGAGGAATATGGTTAGTGCAGGAGACAGAACTGTCCATAAGTTTACCATATCCATATGAACAAATGTAACAACATAGCAAAAACACACCACCTGGTTGAGGAGGAGGAATCTCATTCTTTCTTTTTATTTATTTAAAAAAATTGTTTTTAATATTTTGTTTTTATTGATTTTAGAGATAGAGGAAGGAAGAAAGAAAGATAGAAACATCGATGAGAGATTAGATTCCAAAATGGTGGTGGAGTGAATGGAAGCTACACAGACCATTTCCCAGGACCAAACTGGAATTAAAACTAAAATGAAGACAAATCATCAGAAAAATCAACAGAAAAGCAGCTGGTGAGGACGTCTATAATCACAATCAGAAAGAGGACCCTAAATCGAGCCTGGTAGGAACTGTGGAGGTGTGAGAGGATGGGCTGGGAGCCCACAAACAGCAGCTGTTTTAGCTGTGAGCGGCTCCCTCAGGGTTAAAATCCCAAGCCAGCTCCACAGTGCAGAGGGCCAGGACAGAACACTAAACTAGCTATAGCCATCACCTTGGGCTCTGACAGAGGAAGGGCAGACTGGAATGGAACTGTGTGGAGAAACTTGGGAGCTTGGACAACTAGAAGAGCTGGGAGGGCAATAGGATTTTTTTGCTGAATCACTCCTTGATGGGACAGAAGCCATATTACTTAACGAGGCCCTTCTGAGAGCCCCTAGGAGAAGCAACAGCCCCTCCCTCAGGAATTTAACACCACCCAGCAAGCATCTGCTCCACCCACTGGAAATCCTCTTACCCTAAGAACCTGAGGGATATTTTTCATTCAGTTGAGGGCTAAAACCTAAGGCTCATCAAGTAACTGAGACTAATAGCCTCCAGGCAAACAGCTAGAGGATAAGTGAACCTTTCCTGGGCTTGCAAATCTACCCAGGAAAGTAAGACTTGACAGTAGTGTTTATCATGGGTCCTCACACATGTGTACAAACCCACTGGAGGGAGCCACAACCAGTGGAACACCAACACCCACAGGAAAAATTTGGCAGGCTGCAAAACCTACTGAAACAGCTAAAATGGTGAAATAAAGAAACAAATTCCTAATGAAAGAACTCAATAACTCAACAGAAGATGAAATAAATGAAAGGGAATTGAGCAAGATATCAGTGGAACAGTTAAGAGTAATAATCATGAGGAAGTTCAATAGCATGAGTAAAGATATACAAGCATTGAAAACCAACCAATTGGAAATGAAGAATGACATAGCAGAAACAAAGAACACATTGGAAGGAATAACCAGCAGATTAGAGGAGGCCGAGGATTGAATCAGTGAATTAGAAGACAGGGTGGAAAAATCATCCAATCAGAGAACCAAAAAGAAAAAAAAAACAATTAAAAACCAGGAAGACAGACTAAGAGAACTGTGGGACAATATGAAACATAACAATATCTGCACCATAGGAGTTTCAGAAGAAGAAAATAAACAAGGGTGAGAGAATATATTTGAAGAAATAGTGACAGAAAACTGCACTAATCTGGTGAAGGAAAAGGGCGTACCAGTTCAAGAAGCACAGAGCCCCAAGTAAGAAAAACCCAAACAGGCCCACACCAAGACACATAATAATGAAAATTCCAAAAATTAAAGACAAAAAGAGAATTCTAAAGGCAGCAAGAGATAAGCAACAGGTTACCTACAAAAAAACCCCACATAAAGCCATCAGCTGACTTTTCAACAGAAACATTACAGACCAGAAGGGAATGGCATGAACTAATCAAGGTCACGAAAAACAAGGATCTGAATCCAAGGCTATTTTATCCAGCAAGGTTATCATTCAAAATAGAAGGTGATATAAAGAGCATCCCAGAAACAAAAAGGCTAAAGGAATATATTAGTACCAAACCAACACTGTAAGAAATGGTAAAAAGACTGCTGTAATTAATAGAAGAAACAGGAACAAAAATATAACTACAACAAACAAAAATGGCAATAAATAAATACATATCAATAATAACCTTAAATGTAAATGGATTAAATGCTCCAATCAAAAGACACAGAGTACCTGATTAGATAAGAAAGCATGACTCATATATATTATGTTTACAGGAGATCCACCTCACAACAAAAGACTCACACAGGTTGAAAGTGAAGAGCTGGAAAAAAATCTGCTAAGCAAATGAAAAGATAAAAAGAGCTGGGATAGTAATACTCTTATCCGATAAAATAGACTTCAAAATGAAAGTCATAACTAGAGACAAAAAAGGCCCCTACATAATACTGAAAGGATCTATTCAACAGGAATATATAACCTTGGTAAACATATATGCATCCAACATAAGAGCATCAAAATATATAAAAAAATATCAGAAGGCCTTCAAAGGATATATCTACAGCAATACAATCATAACAGGGGACTTCAACACCATGCTGACATCACTGGATAGTTCTTCTAGACAAAAAATTAACAGGGATACAGAGACTCTAAATGATGCAATAGATCAAATGGATTTAATCAATATCTACAGAGAATTACACCCCAAAACTAAAGAATTCATATTCTTCTCAAGTGCACATAGGACATTCTCAAAGATAGACCACATATTAGGACACAAACTAAGTCTCTACAAGTTCAAGAAGATTGAAATCATATCAAGCATCTTCTCAGATCACAATGGCATAAAACTAGAAATCAATTACAACAAAAACAACCAAAAACATTTAAACACATGGAGGCTAAATAGTATATAATTAAACAATAAATGGGTTACCAGGAGGTCAAGGAAGAAATTAAAAACTTCCTGGAATACAATGAAAATGAACATACAGCAATACAAAATCTATGGGACGCAGCAAAAGCAGTCCTGAACGGGAAGTTCAGAGTACTACAGGCCTACCTCAAGAAACAAGAAAAATTCCTAATTGACTTTCTAATGTCACAACTTAAAGAACTAGAAAGCAAACAAAAAAGAAAAACTCAGAGCAAGTAGAAGAAAAGAAATAGTAAAGATCAAAGCAGAAATATATGACAAAGAGACCAAAAAAAACAATTCAAAAGAACACTGAAACAAAGAGCTGGTTCTTTGAAAAGATAAACAAGATTGATGGACCCTTTGCTAGACTTACCAAGAAACAAAGAGAGAGAACCCAAATAAGCAAAATCAGAAATGAAAGAGAAGAAATAACAACGGACATCACAGAAATACAAAGGATCATTAACAAATATTATGAACAATTATATTCCAACAAATTGGACAACCTAAGTGAAATGGACAAATTTCTAGAAACACATAATCTCTCAGAACTGAACCAGGAAGAGACAGAAAACTTGAACAGACCAATAACAACTAAGAAAATTGAAGATGTAATCAAGAATTTCCCAGCAAACAAAAGCCAGGGCCCAAATGGCTTCACAGGGGAGTTTTTTCGAACATTCAGTGAAGAACTAATACCTATTCTCCTCAAACTATTCCAAAAAGTTTAAAAAGAAGGAAGACTTCCAAACTCATTTTATGAGACCAGGATAATTCTAATTCCAAAACCAGATAAAGACACTACAAAGACAGAAAACTACTGGCCAATATCCCTGATAAACATAGATGCCAAAATCCTTAACAAAATATTACCAAATCGGATCCAGCAATACATTAAAATAATTATTCACCATGACCAAGTGGGATTCATCCCAGGGATGCAAGGCTTGTACAATATTCACAAATCAATAAATGTGATACGCCACATAAACAAAAAAACCTTATGATCATATCAATAGATGCTGAAAAAGCATTTGACAAAATCCAGCACCCATTTCTGATAAAAATGCTCAGCAATGTGGGAATAGAGGGATCATATCTCGACGTAATAAAGGCCATAGATGAAAAAACTACAGCCAACATTATATTTAATGGGAAAAAACTAAAACATTTTCCTTAAGAACAAGAACAACACAGGGATGCACACTTTCACCACTCTTATTTAACATAGTACTGGAAGTCTTAGCCACAGCAATCAGACATGAAAAAAAAATAAAAGTGATCCAAATTGGAAAGGAGAAAGTGAAACTGTCAGGTGACATGATACTATACGTAGAAAACCCCAAAGACTCCATCAAAAATTTACTAGATTTAATAAATGGATTTGGCAAAGTAGCAAGATACAAAATTAACATCAAGAAATTGATGGAATTCTTATACATGAATAATGAACTCACAAAAAGAGAAACGAAAAAAGCAATCCCATTAATCATTGTAGCGAAAAATTAAGATGCCTAGG